AGCTCAAGGAGTTGACAATTTGCAAAAGTTGTGCTTTATCAAAATGGAAATGACAACTTTGTGCCATAAATGAAATTGTAGCTTGGACAAATGCTCTAATGCTTGGATTAAAGCTCTATCAGCTATGTAAACATTTAATTATGGAGTGAGAAACAAGTTTGAGGCCTGCAAAGCAAATATTGTGCAGCCTGGGCTTGAATTTGTATTTTGGTTCATCATAAAATGGCTTGAAATCAAAGTGAGAAATTGCCAACTTCATCTCTTCGATTCTCCCTACTCAAGAATGATCTCAATGAGTTCTTGGACATTTTGTAAATCTTGCAATGTGCTCTATAACTCATATTTGAATTTCTTTCAAATATTCCCATTGGAACTATGTGAAAAATTGGCATGAAGTTAGGTCAAAAACCTGCCTAACTAGGGCAAAATTTCACTAAGTTATTTTAGTTCATGAGCATGTATTCACAAAATTATATCTTGAAATCTAAGCATCTTTAGGAGAAATTATGTTAAGAAAAGTTGTAGATTTCATGGAGATATACAACTTTCATGTTGGAAGTTTCCTTTGAATCATCATGCATCATGGTGATAATTTGGCTCAAAGTTGAGAAAAAATAAGAAATTTTCTATACTTAGAAAATTTTCTAAGTTAAGAAATTTCAAATTTTAAAACAAAATCTTGAATCCTTGATTTCTTGATGAACAAGTTTCACATTTTTACATGTTTTGATGAATTATGATCTTTGACACTTGAATTTGACCAAAAAGTCAAAGTTTGACTTTTTCAGTGTACAGTTGACTTTTGATCAGTTGACTGAAAAATTCATTTGTCAATCCAATAGATTTGCAATGTTTTGAATCATGCTATTAGGTCAAAATGATGTAATTGAACTCTTGAAATCATGCTTCAAACCAATTGATCATTTGCTAGGTCAAAAATCAGAAATTGCCCCTTCTCAGTCAAAACCCTAATTTTGACCATTTTGCCCTTTTGATGATTTGATCAAATTTCTTGAGGAATTATGGTCCAAATTTGATCAAATTATACGTATGATTCTAAGATGTTGATGTGGATCAAAAATTATGAAGTTTTACTATAAATTGGTCATGGTTGACTTTTTCCCCAATACAGTTGATTTTTAGGTCAGTTGTCCAATTGACTGATCAAAAATGTGATTTAAGGCTTGAAACTTGGCATGAGTAATCTTGGGGGTCCATAATGATCCTTGAAAGTCATATGAAGCATTGATAGTCCAAAAATCCTTGTGCAAACTCAAACCTTAATTTTGTTCATCAGTGCCTGAGGAGGTGTCTTAAGCTGGTCATACCCTAATCCAGTCTTGAGTCAAAGAGATCTTGTGAGGAAATTCTTGATAACTGAGAGGGAAAATTTTGGGGTACAACGGCCACAATGTATTTGCAAAATGCAGAACATTTCCTCTAAGCCATAATGTATCATCAAACTCAACACATTGCCTCTAAGTCGTAATGTATTTGTAAACTCAACACATTGCCTCTAAGCCGTAATGTATTTGCAAAATTCAGCACATTGCCTCTAAGCCGCAAAATATTATCTAAACTCAACACATTGCCTCTAAGCCGCAATGTATTATCCAAGCCAATGCATTTCCTCTAAGCCGTAATGAACTCTCAAAACTCGGTGCATTGCCTCTAAGCCGCAATGTGTTCACAAAACTTATTACATTGCCTCTAAGCCGCAATGTATTCTCACGACTCATTACATTGCCTCTAAGCCGCAATGTTTTTACAAAACCTAGATCATTGCCTCAGACTTCATGCAGCGATGCTCGGAAACATAATTCTAGCTTATCACATCAAACTTCACGCAGTGATTTACGAACTTAGCCCATTTCCTCAGACTTCATGTAGCAATGTGTTCCAAACTCCAGACCATCGTCTCAGACTTCATGCAGCGATGTTCGAAGCAACCAATCTAGCTTATCACATCATACTTCACGCAATGATTTGCAAACCTAACCCATTTCCTCGGACTTCATGCAGCAATGTGTTTCTTTATCCCATAACACAGATCATCGCCTCAGACTTCACGTAGCGATGCTCGAAAGAAAACAAAACTCTAGCCCATCGCCTCAGACGTCACGCAGCGATTTGTAAACCTAACCCATTGCCGCATACTTCATGCAGCAATGTTCATCTCTCTATTCCATAACACAAACCATCGCCCTGGACTTCATGCAGCGATGCTCGAAAACAAAAATCTAGCTTATCGCCTCAGACTTCACACAACGATTTGCGAACCTAATCTCATTACCTAAAAACTTCATACAACAATGTATTTCTTTATTTCGCGACACTGATCATCGCCTCAGACTTCATGCAGCGATGCTCCAAAATACAAGGGTTAGCCTATTGCATCAGACGTCTGTAATACCCCATATTTATCCTACCCCTTTTACTTTTATCTGTCTTATGCGTCTCTCACTTTTCACATGTACATAACCTTCCATTAGGTCATTTAACACATCATGCATCATTAATCAGTAAATTTAGCATGGGAACAAGGATCTTGAAGATTAGGGTTTTATATGTGCTTTTAGACCCTTATCTTCACTCAGGCTTGAATCAATTGGTTTCTCATTAACTATGGTTTGTGGGGATAGGGTTTAGATTCTTGATCATTGAGAACTTCTTTCTCTCATTAAGCTACAAGGTTGTCATCTTCACCAAGGGCAGGATCATTAGGGTTTCACTAAAGGTTTAAGTAAAGACTATGTGAGCTAGGGTTTAAGGTCAAAGTCATCTTAAATATTTTCTTCAAGGATCCAAGACATTGTTATTCTATTGCTCATATAATCGAGACGTGATACAAGATGCGAATTATAATCAAAGCGTCATTCATTCAAATTGATTGTTGCTTGTCGTATGAGTTAATTTGGATTAAGGTTGAAGTGGATTTAAATGATTCCATGGATTCAAACTTGGTTCAATTCATCAGAGTTGTTGGAGGCTTGTAAGGTTGAAAAAGAAATTAATTTGTATTTATTAAGATTTAAGTAATGAGGTATACAAGTTCAAGGTTATTCAAATATTATTCAGGATACCAAAGTTCATCTAAAAAGAATCATCAGAATATCAAAATTCAACATCTTTCACTTTCCTTCAGAGTTCGTCAAAATCCACTTAGGGATTCAAGAAATTTCCCACCATTTCATCCATCATCTAACGTCATTGTACATGGCTCACAATTTTAAAGATTCAAGTCCATTCACATGACAATTTACAAGCAAATATCTCTCAAAAGATAATCATTTATCTTTAAATATGCAAGTTCGTCCAACTTCCAAATATCATTCCATTTGAAGAATTACATTAAGGAGAGAGAATTACTAGCCATTACAAAATACCATAACCTCATTATAATTTACATTACAGTTTCCAACATATATACCATTATACACATGGAACTTTACACAACAATTAGAACCTATTCTAATCCCTATCACCCTCCATGTTTCGAGTCTTAACTGAACGTCATGCCATGCCATACGAATCAGTCTCCATGTCAAGCTTCTAACTTTTCACCAAATTCCTTGTACCCTGTCTTCCAGTCTTGTCTTGCTAATGGACTTCAATACCATGCCTATTTTGAAAGTCAATCCCAACCTGTATCCTTTCCATCATAACCTACATATAGCAAAAAAACAGCACATCAGTTACAAGACATGCACTTTGAGCTAGCAGTTGACATGTGAAACTTAATACAAGTCATGAACAAACCGCAACATATATGGTCAGGTTAACGCATGCAATATCCATTCTTGATATGGGGATTTAGTGTATGGACCAAGCTAGAAGTAAATTGCAATGAAATATCAATATGTACCACAACTTGTCATGACCAACTTGCCGCATATTAATAAACAAGACTGTTAAATCACTCATTCAATAATTCGATCAAAGTGTGAAAGGGATGAAAAAGCTAATTTTTGCAACAAACTGTGACCAAGCCTCATTGAAAAAAAACAGTTAACCAAATTCCTAACTAACTTTTTTGACTCTACAAACTAATTAATTGCTAACTGAGCAGTAACTAACTTTTTGATCTAATCGAATTTCCAACTGATTTCATAAGCTTTACTAAACAATTAACAGAAGTATATGGCCAGGAATCAATAACTTCTAACAACTAACACTTTAACTAACTTTCATCCAATTCTGTTAATTGTTTTTAAACTGAAACGCAAGGCTTAAATTGATCACAAACTCATTGAGACAAAAATATTTTAGAACTAACTAACTGCTAACAGTAGCATTAACAGAGTTAACTAACATCAAGAAAAACTAACTATAACTGTAACAAAACCCCTTTTAACCATCTCCCTACAAAAATTAATTGTTAACAGTTTCTAACTAGCCCGATCTCACCATATATCCCCAACTGATTGCAATAGATCTAAGGGTTCAAATGGATCACCCTCTAACTGTTTTAACCAACCTCTAACAGAACCCAAAACAACTTTACATCCGACTATAACAAATTAACAGCATAACAGATTTCTAAACAAACTCATAACCAAATTTTAACAGTTTTCTAACCAACTTTTTCCAACTAACTAACAGTCCAACTAACCTCTAACCAACTCAAACTAAGTTTCCTAACTCCATAACCGACTGTAACTAAATTTCTAACTTCCTAACAAACCCCTATAAAAGAGAAAGTTAACTAACTGACAGAAATATAACTGACTTCTAACAGATTACAATAGAATTCAGGAGAAAGAAAGAGGGGCACGATTCATTTTTTACAAAATACAGAAAAATCAGTTATAGAACTCACCATAAATTGTTGTTCTCTGATTTGCTTCAGCCGTCATAAGTAGAATCACCAAACTTCATCTCCATCTTCTCTCTGATCTCTCCATAACTACCTTCACCTCTGAACCTCCTTCTCCATCCTTTCTCTACTCAGTCTCTCTTATGCACCTTCACATAACCACCTATTATCATCACCTATCCTCATGGTACCTTCCTTCAATTATCTTCACAATAATACTGATCTCTCTATAACCGCACCTTCATCACCAATCCTCACTCTCCTCGAGCCAATTCTTCAAGCACTATTGTGTCTTCATCTTCATCATCATCTCTCTACATTCAACATCAACAAAGAAATTGCGCTTCAGCCTCATAACAAGAACGCGCATGCAATTGAATGCAACAACTTCAGAACTGCAAGCACGCTGAAATTTAGAAAACGTAAAGGAATCAGAAGTTGGGAAAGTAGGAGAAGTGAAAAAGAAAATAAGAAAAGAAGAAGCAAGGAAGAGGAGTTGAGGTACCTGTGAGTTCATCTTGTCTGTCGCCGCTTCCTCCGGTAGGTTTCACCACCTTCTACATTTCTTCGTTTTTCTTGGTGCCATAGTGAAGGTTTTGAGTCCCTAAAATGTTCCCCTAAGCCATTCGCTCCATACAACGCATTATCACCATTCAATTTTTATTCTAAGTCTCCTAGGGTTCCTCTGATTTGGATTTAAAGAACTCGGTAAAAATTTGAGAAAAGGTGAGGTTATGTATGAAGATGAGATTGAGAGGAAAAGAAACATCATGGCTGGGGAGAGGCGGCGAAAACGTCAGACAAACGGGGGAGAAGCTCAAAGGTGCGGTTCATTGAGAGAGAGGGGATGTTGTGTTTTGATAAGCTGGAGGGACACAAAATGAAACCCTCAAAACAACATCATTTCTTTGGACCAGATCATCCTCAGTCTCAGGCCCAGAAGGGCAATTTTTTGTAGCTTCTTAATTACTTAACAAAAATGGTTAATTGACTCACTTGGTGATGGGCCTTAACGCCAGACAATATTTCTGATCACACCCCCTGAATTCAACTTGCACCCCCTGACTCTTCTAACTTTCCTTTTTTATTATCATTTCAGTTTTATATTCTAGTTTAATTTTTCTCTTAATTGATAATAAAAGTAATACAAAATATTAGAACATTTTATAATTTTTTTAGGTTTTCTCTTTAGAATTTTATTAGAATTTTCTAATATTTCTTTTATGTTTGGTAATCATTTTTGTTGCCATTTTTAGCCTAGATTTTGTGATAGAATGTTGAGGTAACTTTCGGGATATGGAATGCTTAGAGATTAATTTGTTTGATCACTTGTGTTAAGTAGATTCTGTAGAGTTTTCTTATCGCTTGCGTGGTTTTGAAGAGGCAATGGACCTTCTCCGTTAGCTTTCGCGAAGATCGTCGGGTTTCTTTGCTTTTTTCTTTGCTCTACGGGATAGTACTTGTTTGGTATATTCTCTTTCTACATTCTCTCCACATTTATCGCTTCCTAGAGATCATATGAAGTATGATAACATTAGGTTTAGGAATAGGTTAGTCTCCCCTTATACTTTTCTTTCCCCTTGTTGCATATGCATTTAAAACTAAAACTTCTTTTTCTTTCAAACTTCAAAAAACTTTAAAACTACTGATGAGAATCATGCCTTTGCTTAGTATGGGAAATGATAAGCGGGTCTCTTCTCGATCTTATTGTTCTTCGTTTCAAGCCTAGTTGTGGTTCAATTCTCAAAGACTCCTTTCATGGCTAAGTAGAAAAGTGGCTAATGTCTCTCTCTTGAGGTCAACTAGTCATTATCTGCAACAAAAATACAAACCAATTCAAATCTTTTTGTGCGCTCAAGCACCTTTCTCCAAAACCATTTTCAGGTTAGGACATGATTAATTTACTTTTATGCCAATGCATAAGTCTCCAAAGGTTGAGCTGCGGCAAAAGGCGGGATTAACTTCATCCATAAAAAACACAAACAAATAAAACATGTGAGCCGAACTATGGTAGCTCTGATTCCTCAAAACGGATACGTAGGCATTGGGGTAGGGCCCAAGCGAGCACAATTTTATTTTCCCTACATTCTTTTTCCCTTTCTTTTGCATGCATTCTCCCTTTAGTAGTAGTATAGTAGACAGTAAGCATAGATTAAACACACCCATAAGATAGATAACAAGAGTGGATACCGTAGAGTACTACGGGCGTGTGGGGTGCTAATACCTTCCCCTCACGTAACAGACTCCCTTACCCGATCTCTCGATCGCAAGACCGTGACTTCTCCCTTCTCAGGTTTTCTCGATGTTTACCTTTCCCTACATGTGGGATAAAAGACGTTCAAAGGCGACTTCATTGTTTGATGATTTTCAGTCGGTTGTTTCAGTTGGCGACTTCACTGGGGACAGGTCGACCAAATGCTGGTCCATCCCGGATGTCGCTCCTAGCTCTTGCTTTCTTTTCTTTGGGTGTTCATTTTTATTCTTTCACTTTATTCACTCATTTTGTATATACTTGAGCATATGTATGCATTGCATTTTACTGTCTTCCATATACTACTGATGTACTGGATTTGCTTCTTGATTGGGTTGGGATGTTACTATTGAGGTAAAGGGCCCAGTACCCAGTCCAGAGTGCACTAGGACACTAGGAAAAGAGTGGGGGCATGACGGCTATAGGACGTGGTCCGACTAGTGTAGTCATGTCATATACCACGCTCAGATGAGGTTCAATTGGAGGTACTTTCATCATGCACGTTTGTGTTGCGATGATTTTACTTTCAAGCGAGCCCATGATTTTCGAGTTACCATTGTCTCACCCTGACCTAGTCTTCACCCGTGAGGGGAGAGGGGATCATTATTACAGGTACAGATGGTGACTATGTTCAGATGTTTACTCATGTTCAGATAGTGACTATACCCAGACGGTGACTATCGGTTCTAATGGGTATACTCTGAATTTTCGTCGGTGACTAGGAGGTTCTCAGATTTATTTTCTGAGTCCCGAATCAGTTCATAAGATTATGTGGTTTACGTTCCGGACCTATGATCCTGGTACTTACAGACTATGCAGAGGCAGTACAGCAGAAATTGGTATCATGGAAGTAGTAACCCCATGATCACTTGCATTTACATCATAGCATGTTTATTTCTCAGAAAGAAATGTCAGAAAGATGAAATGTACTAACCTTGCATGTTCATGTCCATTTCCGGATACCTCTCTAGCATAATTTCTGTCAGTAACGTGTGGCAACAGTGATGTTCTCAAGAGGACCAAGGGAGACAATTATACTTATCAGTACTGCTCAAGTTTTCCGCTCAAGTTCTCTGCCTTCTTTGAAGAGTTTAAAATACCGTTTTAGTCAGTCCCAATGCAGAGTTTTTATCGGAAGACATGGAGGTATTTTGACCCTACTTCAGTCTTACAACTACGAGTTACACCTTCCAGGACTATCAAATTATTCCAATTCCGGAAGAACGATCCCCTTTGCTGAGCACCTACTTATTGCCAGTCTGGACGGGCATGATTTTGAAACTATCGCTAAGGCACTTTATTTGGGCCTTGGCAATGTGAGATGGAAATGGGAGAAGAATGGTAACCTACTTCCGAACTGATCATTATTGTTACTGATAAGTTTGTTAGACAGAGTTGCTCATCTTATACTCCCATAACCTTCTCGTATTCAATTCTGTGGGAATTTCTCTTATTTTTGGATGTTTTCTTCATACGGTCGTTTTATCATCATGTTGCTCGATTACTGCTGATGGTAATTGAACCATGGAAAACTGGAATGGACAATCATTTCATACATCATACATATCATGCATTTCATGAACTGCAGGTTTTTTGGCAGGAATTCTTGTCTGATGATTTTGCCTTTTATTATAGAATCTACAAAACGACCTCCCTACATCCTTATCGCACCCGAGCCAACAAGTTGAGGATTATGGAACAAATTGAGCAGAACCAAGCCGCTCTCTGCAAAGGCATTGACACTATGGGTGATAGAATGAATCATCTCATGGAAACTCTTCATGCCGTCATCCAAGGGCAGGAAGAGCTCGGAATAAGCGTTACTAAACTGGTAGATGGCGCCTCCACATCCGAGAATGGTGGACCCAAGAATGACGATGGGGGGATTCCTAAGGAGAACCCACGATCGATTATGGATGACCACCATGATGTCATCGATCTCGATGACCCTCCGAAGGATTCTACGGCTGATTTGTCTGAAACTGCTAAGATGTACAAGGCTCTGGAATAACGCTTAAAGGCTATGGAGTCTTCTAAGAAACCAGGATTCAGTGTCGCTGCTATGTGTTTGGTTCCAGGGGTTGTGATTCTGCCAAAGTTTAAGGTACATAATTTCGATAAGTATAAGGGGATTACATGCCCAGAGACTCATCTCCGATCTTACCGCAGAAAGATGGCTGCTTATGCTAGCAATGAGCCGTTGCTTATGCATTTCTTTTAGGACAGTCTTGCTGAAGCTCCATTAGAGTGGTACATGCAGTTGGAGAAAACCCATGTTAGTGACTGGATTGATCTTGTTGACGCTTTCCTAAAACATTATCACTACAACACCGCCATGGCACCTAGCCATGCGCAGCTGCAGAGTATGTCTCAAAAGACTAGTGATTCTTTCAAAGAGTATGCCCAGAGATGGCGCAGTTTGGCTGCAAGAGTTCAACCTCCTATCCTAGACCGGGAACTGGTAGATCTGTTTATGATTACCCTCTGAGGCCCGTATCTACAACATATGCTCAGCAGTACTTCAGATTCATTTTCGGATATGGTCATCATCGGGGAGCGGGTTGAAATGTGTATTAAAGTAGGGACTATTTTAGGTGCATCTGGCACAAATGGTAACAACAACTCAGGTGGTGGGAAGAAATCGTACTCTAGCGATTTTGTCAAGAAAAAGGAAGGAGAAGTAAGCAATGCCTCTGATGAAAAGGGGAAAGCTATTGTACAGGTTCCATATTACCAAACTCCTGCTACTGCTCCACAACAACAGTATGCACCGCCGCAAAACTATCAACAGAACCAAAGGCCCCAGGGGCAGAGGGGTCAACAAAGGCAGCAAAGGTATCCTGAGAGGAAGTTGGATCCAATCCCGATGTCATATGCCCAGTTTCTTCCACAATTGCTAGTTTGTCAGTTGGTACAGCTTCGAGTATTGGCTCCCCCACCAGCAGAACTTCCAAGGGGTTATGATGTCAATGCACGTTGTGAGTTTCATTCAGGAGCTCCAGGTTATTCAATCGAAAACTTTAGAGCTTTAAAGTACAAGGTGCAATATCTTTTGGAGGCGAAGGAGTTAAGCTTCTCTCCTATAGGCCCTAATGTTCAAAATAATCCTATGCCTTCCCACCATGGGGATGCTGCCAATGCTATTGGGTTTGATGCTGACCACGACTTAGTGACTCAGGTTGAAGAGATTCAAATGTCAATGACAGTTCTAAGAAAGCATCTTTTGCAACAGGAAGTTCTACAAGGGCTTCATGGATTTT